GCTGAAATGGACTGGTATTGGCCATTTTGAATCAGACAATCATACGGTCTACTATGTCAAGAATAACAAATTGAAGAGGAATGTATCACATTCATCATCAAAAACATTTCAAGATCTAGCTTGAAGGGGACCAGGTTTGCTGGTCTGATAGAGCCTGATGGAACCCCTGAGACCATGGCCCCTAGCTGCCCTTCAGATCTGGAACTGAATCCACTCCTGTGGCTTCCAGCCAAACAAAAGACAGACATACGAGCTGAGCGTTTACATTAGGTAGATACACTCCTTGGACAGATTAATCATGGCAGAATAGAAGGGCCATGTATGCACAGGCAGACAGCTCAGGGGGCAAGAGTGCATGGGAGGGAAGGACACAGGGATGAGGTAACTATGGGGAAAAAGTGGGAGGGGAGCTGTTGCATTGTGGGAGATTGCAGTCAATGTCATAAGACAAAGTATATGTGAACTGCTGTATGGAAAGTGAATTTTCTCTGTAAACTTTCACCCAAATCACAATGAATTTTTTTTTTTTTTTTTTTTTAAAAAGGACGACACAGGGAAGAGGTAACCATAGGGATGAAGTGGGAAGAGAACTGTTACATTGTGGGAATTGCAGTTAATGTCATGAAACAAAATGTGTAAGAACTGCTATATGGTAAATGAATTTGCTCTGTAAACTTTCACCCAAATCCCAATAAAAATTAAATAATTAAAATAAATCTGTCCTTAAGTAAAGTGCTGTCAGTGACAGGGCAATACCCATATGCCTACAAGGAAGACCATTCAAATTTACACACCAACCACTAAACCCAAAGATGAAGAAATTGAAGATTTTTACCAACTTCTGCAATCTGAAATTGACCAAACATGCAATCAAGATGTATTGATCATTACTGGTGATTGGAATATGAAAGTTGGAAACAAAGAATCATCGGCAGTTGGAAAATATGGCCTTGGTGAAATAAATGAGGCCAGAGATCGCATGATTGAATTTTGCAAAACCAACAAATTAGTCATTGCAAATATCTTTTCAACAACGTAAATGGTGACTATACACATGGATCTCACCAGACAAAATATACAGGAATCGAATCACATATATCTGTGTAAAGAGGCAATGGAAAAACTCAATTATTATCAGTCAGTACAAGGCCAGGAGCTGACTGTGGAACAGAAATCAATTGCTCCTATGAGAGTTCACCTTGAATCTGAAGAAAATTAAAACAAGTCCACAAGAGCCAAACTGCAACCTTAATTATATACCACCTGAATTTAGAAACTATCTTAGGAATAGATTTGACCACTCAATACCAGTAACCAAGGGCCAGACGAATTGTAGGATGACATCAAGAGCATCATACATGAAGAAGGCAAAAGGTCATTAAAAGACAGGAAAGGAAGAAGAGACTAAAATGGATGCCAGAAGAAACTCTGAAACTTGCTCTTGAACAGAAAGTAGCTAAAGCAAATGGAAAAATGAATTAAAATAGCTCAACAGAAGATTTCAAAAGGAAGGTCAAGACAACAAAGTAAAGTATTATAATGAAATGTGCAAAGACCTGAAGTTAGAAAACCAAAAGGGAAGAACATGCTCAGCATTTCTCAAGCTGACAAAACTGAAGAAAAAATTCAAGCCTCAAGCTGTAATACTGAAGGATTCTATGGGAAAAATATCGAACAAAGCATGCAGCAGCAGAAGATGGAAAGAATACACAGATTCATGGGTACTGAAAAGAACTGGTCAATGTTCAACCATTTCACGAAGCAGGGTTTGATCAAGAACTGATAGTACCGAAGACAGCCAACCTGCACTGAAGGAACTGGTGAAAAACAAGGCCCCAGGAATCGATGGAACACCCACTGAGATGTTTCAACAAATGGATGCAGCACTGGAGGTGCTCACTCATTTAAGCCAAGAAATTTGGAAGATAGCTACTTGGCCAAACAACTGGAAAAGATCCATTGTCCATTCCAATGAAAGGTGTTCCAACAGAATGTTGAACTTATCAAATAATATCATTAATATCACACACAAGTAAAATTTTGCTGAAGATAATTAAAAAATGGTTGCAGGAAGCAGTACATCTACTGGGAAATGCCAGAAATTCAAGCCAGATTTAGACGAGGACATGGAACAAGGGATAGCATTGCTGATGTCAGATGGATCTGGGCTGAAAGCAAAGAGGACTTGAAGCACTTACTGATGAAGATCAACAACTACAGCCTTCAGTGTGGACTACACCTCAACATCAAGAAAACAAAAATCCTCACAACCAGACCAATCAGCACCATCATGATAAACAGAGAAAAGACTGAAGTTGGTGGGGATGTCATTTTACTTAGATCCACAATCAACACCCATGGAAGCAGCAGTCAAGAAATCAAATGAGGTATTGTATCGGACAAGTCTGTAAAAACCTCTTTAATGTGTTAAAGACCAAAAATGTCACTTTGACTAAAGTGCACCTGATCCAAGCCATGGTATTTTCAGTCACCTCATATGCATGTGAGAGCTGGACAGAGAATAAGGAAGACCATAGAAGAATTGATCCCTTTGAACTGTGGTGTTGGCAAAGAACGCTGAAAATACCATGGACCGCCAGAGCCAACAAATCTGTCCTGGAGGAATAACAGCCGGAATGTCCCCTACAAGTGAGGACGGTGGGACTTCGCCTCTTGTACTTTGGGCACGTCCCAGAAGGGACCAGTCCCTGGAGAAGGGTATCATGCTTGGTAAAGTAGAGGGTCAGTGACAGAGAGGAAGAGCCTCAGTGAGGCTGTGACCATGGGCTGATGCACGATAACCATTGAGGATGACATAGGACCTGCCAGTGTTTTACTCTGTGGTACGTGGGGTCACTGTGAGCCCAAGCCCACTGGGTGGCGCCTAACAGTAACGCGTGTGTGTGTCTGTGGAGGGGCTCTCCAGAGGTTGCAAACTGCACCTCCCAGGCTGGCCACCACAGGCCTCACCAACACTGCTGCCCTCTGTGGTCCCAGTGCGGAAGCCCCTTTGTGCTGTAGGCGTGTGGAGCAGCCTCGGTCCCTGCACTGGGGTGGAGGCAGGGTACAGCCAGAGGAGAGGAAGATGAGACTCCAGGATGCCATTGCAGTGGTGCCACCCTGCTTCCGCAGAAGCTGCAGCCAGCTGGTCTCTGGTGGGATGGGCGTGTGCGGTGGCGCCGCAGGGGCCAGGGCTGACTTCCTGACAGGCCGATCCTGTGTGGAGCTCTAGCCGATCCCACGCATCACCTGGACCGCCCGGTCATGCAGTCTGACGTCTGACGAACCCATTCCCATGAGCGAAGATCCCGCTCTGGTCCTGTGTCAGACACCGACCTCAGGTTTCCCAACCGCGGCACTGTTGGCACAGGGACGGGCAGCCAGGAAATCCAAGCAGGGGTTCTGGGTGGAGGCACAATTGTGGCCCCCAAGGATGCCTGTGCCCCACTTCCTGGAACCCGTGGATGCTACATCGCAAAGGTTGTTCATCAGGCGACCTCAGAATAGGGAGATGACCCTGGATTGTCGGAAGGGCCCAACGTCCTCACAAGGGCCTGTAAGTGGGGAAGCAGTCCTGCTGGTGTGCAAGATGGAGGAAGGCCGAGGGACGCGGGTGTCTCCCCAGTGGCTGGAAAACAGACCCTCCCGTGAAGCCTCCAGAAGCAACCCAGCCCGCCAGCACCATGGCTCAGGCTGGGTGGACCTGCCTCAAAGTCTACAGAACTTACCATTTTTGTGCCACGTGAGCCACCATGGGTGGAAATTTGCTACGACGACACAGTGGTGACACCCAACACTGTCTCCAGTCGTGGTTCCTGGCCTGCCAGCTCTAGTCCAGGGCCACATCTGTGTCCCTCCCCTCTGCAGGTGGCTTCCCTGCCCTTCCCTGAGGCCCAACTGGCCCTGAGACCTCTTTAAATAACAGGAGCCAGCCAGCCCTGCGCCTCAGCCGCAGAGGCCTAGCAGTTCCTGTGTCTGTGACACGGAGTGTCTTGCTCTGTCCCACTCAATCTCATCAGGCCAGCCTCACCTAGGGTGCTTCTAGCATCTCTTCTGTGTGGCCCCACAGCCTCAGAGCCAGGCCCTCTTGGTGCTCCTGTTTTTCGGACTGATCTTATTTCCTGCTGCTCCTCTTTCTCATGGAGCCTTGGAGCAGGGCCCAAGGAGCTGGCCCCCACCACAAACACACACCCAAAGAACCAAGCTCTGTCCGCAAGTTGATTCCAACTCACAGGGACCCTATTGGACAGAGTAGAACTGCCCCACAGGTTTTCCAAGGCATAATGATTAAAGCATTTAGCTGCTAATCAGAAGGTTGGTGGTTCTAACCCACCAGCTGCTGCAGGAAAAAGATGTGGCAGTCTGATTCTACAAAGATTTACAGCCTTGGAAATCCAATGGGGCAGTTCTACTGAGTCCGATAGGGTCACTAGAAGCTGGAATCAACTTGGGTTTGTTTTTTTGGTTTCTGAATCTTTACTGAAGCAGACTGCCACTTCTTTCTCCCATGGAGCAGCACGTGGTTTCAAACTGCTGACCTTTTGGTTAGCAGCCAAGCACTTAACCACTGTGCCATCAGGGCTCCTCTCCACTCACCCCAGGGAGTTAGACAGAAACAAGCCCTGGGCAAAACTACTTCAGGGAGAGAATGGAGATGCCTAGCTGTGTGATCTAGGAAGGCTTCCTGGAGGAGGGGGGACTTCGCGGAAGCACAAGCCAGCTCAGGCCACGCCTGTGGATGGAGTGGGATGGGGTTTGGCAGGGCTCAGGGTCTTGATGCTGAAGGTGGGGACGGCAGTGACACCTTCAAGCAGTGGTTCTGGAGGGAGCCTGGTAGCAGCAGGGGACCAGTTCCTGCCGTCACCAGGGACCTGGGATTGACATCACCGATGACATCAGATCACCCAGTCCCTCCCCACGTCCAGCCTCCTCCCAGTGCTTCCCTCACAAGCAGCCCTGCCTGCAACCCCTCAACCTGGAGCAAAGGCTGACCTGCACAGTCACACGAGGCCCTCTGCCGGCTGGCCCGCCAGCTCGCCTCCTCCAGGAAGCCCCGTGACCGCCACGCCAGACCCCCCCACTGGCTCCCAGGGTCCCCTGGGTTGCTCCCCCAATCGCGAGCCTATCTGCACGCAGAGGTCGGTGTCCCAGGGCTGGCGGGCAGGAGAGCACGGGGACAGTGGGATCTCAGAGGCCCCCGGCCTGTGGCCCACTCCCTCGCCCCAGCAGCGGCGGGTGCTGGCTCCGGTTCCCTGCGCGCCCCCTCCCGCCCCCTGCAGGCCGAGGTCCCAGCAGGAGACGCGCCGCCAGCAAGGTCGGCGTGC